AAAGAAACTCATTCACTAGCATACTTCCCCCTACTAGCTACAAAGGCAAGCATGCGTGTGCAATATGCTCAGTTAACGATGCGCTGATACAAAAAGCAGAAGACAAAAATTCTGCTGTAGAAGTTTGCAAAGGAACTACAGTCAACATCTGAACAAACATAACTGTAAGAAAGATGTACATAATAGTATATTAAGAGTGCCGCTAACATTAAATAAGACAGAATGCTCAAATTTACTTCAAGTTTGAGAAAACGGCAAATTTTAGCCAAATTAGTGTAGAATTGCCCACCTTTAGAAAGTTGAAACGTTCCCTATTCCTTTCAAACTCAATTCGTTGGTTCTTCTCAAGTGCGTTTGCGCTAAAGAACTTGGTCAAGTTGGTAAGTACAATGAACAAGAAAGTGTAGGATAAATGTTTTCTTGCGGTTCAACACAAAGTATTTTAGATGCCTGCGCACGGTGACGCGTAAGCACTCGACTTGCCTTATCTGCGTCACAGTCAATCAAGGCGACGATGTGTTCCATATACATGTGGCGTGCTCCAAAAATAATCGTAACTTCTACTGATGGAATTCAATTTCTTTTGAGGCAAAATACGTTTGAACGAATTAAGCTCCAATAAGCTTGGAAACAGTCAAGAGAAAGCTGGATTGAAAATAAGTAAGTTGGAAGGTGGTAAATTACGGCGTGTTGATTGTTTGTGGGCGCATGCGGGCTCAGGTGTGCGCAACGTAAGTCAAGCTACACAAAACTGCAGCAGATCCCTTATTGTACTCTTCAATTAATATTTTCAAAAATAAAATTCTGAACAAAACCTACTCTCCATAATAGTCTACTTGAATAGAGTGGTCGATGACCAAGTCTACTGGGCAGACAGGATTGATACGAGAAGGATTAGCACCTAATTTCTGTACAGCATCTCTCATAGCCGCCAAATCTACGACAGCAGGAACACCACTACAATAACATGAATTTGTAGTTTGATACTAAAAAATATCTGATACTGGAGAGAACATTACGTGAAATCCTGCAGAATGACGCGAGCGGGCTTGAAGGGAATTTCGGAGTGAGCTTCCTGACTGTGCTTCCAATTTAGGATAGTTTCTACATCAGATTCCAGGACGTGAAAGCCATCGCAGTGGCGAACTGCTGCTTCCAGAAGATATCGAATGGAAATTGGCAAATCATCTGACAATTAAGAGTTATTTGTTCTCAAAACTTTAGTGGCTTGTAACAAACCATATCTAGAGTCGTTCAGAGCAGTGAGGTCAAAATACTTCAAATTTGCATTGTCGATAGCGATATCCTTCAGCAAATGTTTGTATGCCATACTGGAAACAGCAGGATGCACTGAAGAAGACGGAAGGTCGCTGACACCCAACGACCTCCAATAGGGCGATAAGAGTTTGCAGTCCGTACGGAAGGTTAGCGGGTGTTTTATCAGCACAACAATAATTCTTGCCAACTGAAGCCATCATTGTCGATAATAACTGTGAGAAGATCACTCTCAAATCAAGAGTCCTAGAGGGTTTCCTTAATGGGGCGTTAAGACTCTTGGGCTCACTGTCAGAATGCAAATGCGAATAGAAGTGGTTTAGTAATGATTGGAAAGCAACATATTTCACGAAGAGAGGTGAAATTCAACAGCTTCCGTGTGGCTACTGCAAATCGAGATTCCACAATAGTGCGCGGGATTGCGCCGATTAACGCTCCTAATCTTGACGTCGCGATAGCATCGTCGAGGTGATAATATTCTTGGATTACCTATGGACAATGTATAGCTACAACAGCATAATAAGGCAGACACTTCGCAGCACTTTTTAAGATGCTAGAGACACTTTGTTGATGTTATCAAAGTATTCTAACTGAAAGTCCGAAATGTGGATGCATGCTAGGATAAAGATAGCTGCTCGAACAACCGCAGATAACAGTTCGTCGGAAAGATCGGCGCAACCGTTTGACCAGTGACAGCGGAGGCGACAGCCGGTAAAAGACGCGCAGTTAATTGATGCTAGAGCGCGGTTTCTGTTGCTGAACAAATCGGTATGCGTGATAAGAAGGTAGGAAGCGCGTCATTGTCAGCTGGCTCAGATCTTCAACAGTGGCTAGCAGTTCCGCCACCATCGGCTAGCTTTTCTTGGTTTTCAACAATTAGTCGCCGGCGC